TTACAAAAGTTTCTTTACAATGATTGTTGAATAATCTACCATTTTCAAAATAAGTATACGGGATCAGATAAAAAGTTAACGCACCTAACCTCATTTTTTAGGGCCTCATTTTACTCTTTCCAAAAACATAACACTAAAGAAACTCAAAAAATTCAATATGGGTTATAAAAGATTCAAAACATTTTTTTGAATCATTTGCATTTTTTTACATTTTTAAATATTTTTTAAATCTGCATTTTTTAATCACTTGTCTTTTTCTAATATCACCCTTAGTGTGTTATGTTTTCTGAAAACAGAATTTATTTTATATATTTTTAGATTAAAATATACAAGGTGTTCATTTAAAAATAAGGAAGTTGACGTTGCGCAGTTCGCGAATGCGATCATTTAATTTATGGGATATGCTATATGTTTGTTACCACTAACGTCTATGGTTAAAATTTAAAGAGAGATCTTTATAAATAAAAAGTTGGAATTTTGCAGTCTGCGCATGCGCGAATTTGATTGGAATTGGAAGCTTTGTACCCCCAAAATAGTTACCTAGAGCATTCACGACGTACTCCACTAATTCGTTGAAAGACTGGGAATTTGCTTTGATGGGTTTAAATATTAGTTGAATGACTGATTTTGGTCGTTTTAGCCCTCGAAAAAACAGACTGCAACCTTAGGATTTTGAAAATTTTAAGAAACGAATAGATAGAAAACTACTTTAAGTGGCGATATTAATTTATTCAGAAAATGTTTTACGTTGAAAAATTGAGTTAATAGCTTGTTCTATTATTAAATGAGTAACGTTTATTGTGTGTTTCCGTGGTTAACCCAGGTTGTGGGTGCATAAATTATATACCTATTATCATTTTTACAGCACCTGCAATACGTAGTCATATAAGAGAGGTCTACAAATGACCTCCCACTTTTTTGACAGACATCTGCGTTTTGCACCCCTAGGAATCCAGATCTCAATGATCGATGGCCGCCTGACTGTGCACTCATTTCTTTCCAAACCACTGAACCAAAAGCTCGACCAAAAGTAACTAAGTTGGCACACATGTTCTTAGGAGGAAAATGAACAGTCGAGAAGCTTTTAAAAATATGCTTAATTTTTTTAATTAAACGTTATGCTTCACCAAATTACGCAAACTGTATTTTCGCGGGAGACGGCAAATTATATTATTTCGCCCGCCCTGTAGATTTATTCACCCGCTCTTAGTGATCAATCTGGTTATTGTCCTGGTATGCTATGCGGTTGATTTTTGAGCTTTATTACAGGAGCTACGAAGGCTTCGACAAAACCTTTAATTTGTAACTTTGAATGAACACTATGCCCAATTTGTGCGAAATTTTGTTTGATTTTACCGAGGATTTTATACTTTCGCATCATTTTTGAAAGAATCAAAATTTTCCATCTACGTAGGTACCTTTCTTGGAGGTTTTTCTCTGCACATTCCACCTATTTGCGAATCGAAATATTGATGACATTTTGGAAACTAGAACTTATCCTTCTCTAAGACAGAGAAATAAATACACATAAAAAACTTCACTGAACCTTCACAAAAGTATTCTTTCGAAAACCCCGCATCCCCTCTCAACATCTCTCGCAATATGTACTGCGAAATCGCTCTAAATTGATCAAAGCTGACCTAAAACCCCTTATTTTTGCAATTTTGTCACAATTTTTCACTTAGTGATCTGACTATGGAACTGTATTTGTTATTTATCTTATTTGTAGCACACAATATACCTATAAAAAAATAATTTCTATTACAAAATTTAATAAATACAGGGCAAAGTTGCTCAATGCCTTTTATGATCGTTGTCTAGAATAATGTTAGGGAATAATTGTAGCTCTAATGTATTATGTTGCATATTAATTGAAATCTTTCCTCAATTTTATTTGTCATTAGGCATTTTTACGAAAAATCAATCCAACACTATAATAGAGCATAAAAAGGAAAAATGTAGTCACTCTTTTGAAAACCAACCAATCAAATCCTACGAGGGGTGTATTATTGTATAAATAACTTCTGTAGTGTATACAGTTTTGTATATAAACTTAGGACGGCTGTAAATTATATTTGTATATAATACCAAAACAGTTAAAGATACAAACAACAGATTCCCTATATACCCTCCAAGACGCCGGATAGGACAGTTTATTTTTGAAATGACATTTATGACACGAGGAGGAGTTACTATCTTATAATTTATTGCTTGATGGTTTGTATTTTACTCTTTTTTTTGTAGCCATGTCAAGATTCACCAAATTTGTATTGTTTTTATTTTCGTATACAATTACAATTTAAATTTATACATTCAGGTGAAGCTTTGTATTAATAGTCCAGGCTAAATAGCTCTAAAATGATTTATTTTCAAAAAAAATTAGTTACCGGGCGAAACCGGGTTTTTCAGGCAGGTGAAATGAATAGAAATTTGGGAAAAAATAATTAAAACAGCTGAATTTTTCCGCGGGTGAAATCACGGGGGTTGAAAGGGGTGGAAAGTGGTATTTTGCAAATTGTGGCAAAACTATTGATTTTAGACGAAAATGTTAAATATAAAAGTTATAGAGATTAAAAAAATGAGCAACTTTTGTATCTGCACTATTTTCACATAACCTCCAATTTTCCTAGAAAAACCGAAAAAACTGTTTTTTTGTTTTTTATTCCTATTTTTGCGAAAAAATGTCATAGGGGTTTGAAATTTGGAGGTAACATAACCTGTTTTATGATAGAACAGAAGATAATTCTTTGGGTCCATAAAGTTGAACCGTTTCCAAGATCTCACGATTTCTGTAAAAAATCACCTCTTTTTCAAGGGGATGAACACTCTATTTTTTTTCATCGTACAGAAGTGCGCGGGGTAGCAAAATTTTCGTAACGACTTACATTTTAATAATCAAAAATAAAAAATATTATTCCAATAGAAAAATTTCAAGAAACGCAGCAAAAACGGGGGGAACAGTTTTAAGATACACCGTTTTTGACAGTAGGTAAATAGGCTTTTTTGCAAATAAATTAACGTGTTGCATCCGCGCTAATAAAAAGTTTTGGAAATCTGTCTTCTCTCTCCTCTTTAATGTTGCTAAAATATTTTCTTTTGTTTCCCAGTGCCCAACTGCCTTAATTAAAACACTCGTTAAAACATCTTTATTATTACATTTTTCTGCGCATTTTTACTGCAATAAAAGCAACTCGAAGTAAAATCGAATTCTTTTGCTTCCTGAACAATATGTTTTTGTTCACTTTCTCTCTTCCTGCCTGGTTTACAGCTGATGGGATTAAGCTGGGCCTGTTGATCGTTAATTTACAGGAATTATGAATAAAATCCTCATAAAGTTTATTCCTGCAGGTTTGACATCTCAAATCATTTGCTGTAAAACCAACGTTCTTATTGCAGATTTTGCAAGTTTATCAACAGGCCCAACGCAATTGCATCAGCTATAAAACAAGCAGGAAGAAGAATCAGTGAACAAAAATAAATTGTTCAAGAATCAGGAAGCAAGATACATAATTCGATTTTATTTCGAATTGCTTTTATTGCGGTAAAAATGCAGAAAAAAGAAATAATAAAGATGTTTTAACTAAAACAGTTGAGCATAAGATAACAAAAGAGAATATTTAGGGAAACATTAAAGAGAAGGAAGAAGACAGATTTCGAAAAAATCTGTATTAACATCCAACATGTTGATTTATCATGTCAAAAACCGTGTATATCTTAAAACTGTTTTTCCGGTTTTTTGCGATTTTCTCGAATTTTTGCTATAGGAATAATATTTTTTTATTTTTGTTTATTAAAATATAAGTCTTCCCGAAAATTTTGCTACTTCGCGCACCTCTGTACGATAAAAAAAATAGATTTTTCATCCCCTTGAAAAAGAGGTGGTTCTTTTCAAAAAATGTGAGATCTTGGAAACGGTTCAACTTTATGGGCCCAAACAATTATCTTCTGTTTTATCATAAAACAGGCTATATTTCCTCCAAATTTCAAGCCCCTATACGACATTTTTTCGCAAAAATAAGAATAGTGTTTCCGGTTTTTCTGGGAAAATTGGAGGTTATGTGAAAATAGTGTAGATACAAAAGTTGCTCATTTTTTTAATCTCTATAACTTTTACATTTAACATTTTCGTCTAAAATCAATAGTTTTACCACAATTTGCAAAATACCACTTTCCACCCCTTTCAACCCCCGTGATTTCACCCGCGGACAAATTTAGCTGTTTTAATTATTTTTTCCCAAATTCTATTCATTCCACCTGCCTGAAAAACCCGGTTTCGCCCGGTAACTAATTTTTTTCATACAAAAATATTATATAGCCTGGACTATAAAGGCGTCAGAACGTCTAGCTCAAAGTTTGACGTAAGTGTTTCTTGCTCTTTAGTTTACATGTGAATGATTACAAAATAAAGGAGTCAATTATTTTTGCGAGGGAAAATCCCATTGGGATTGGGTAAAGATTATGCTATCTCTGAACCGCTTCCGTAAAGAAACGTTTCAAAGGACCTTTAGTGCGGTTTAAAGAGAATCGGGGCATAGTTGGCAATTTTCGTTATTACAAAACGTGCCAAATGTCGCATTGCTTAATGGAATTATTAAAAATAGTTTATAGGTATACGCTACTTAAAGGTACTGAAAGCGATTAACACGAGATTTATGCACAAAATGTTCTGGAAACCTGGGAAGCGAAATTTTCTTGCAATTGTTGGTAAACGATGGGAAATCGTCAACAATTATTTACTAAACTGTCACCTCAAAATGAAATTTTTAAGAGACGTGTCCTGACCGAAACAAATTATACTGTTACTATACTTGTTGCTCATTTCCTGTTCTTCAATGGTGGGAAATGCATACTTAGGTATTAATTACCTATTTCATCATTCTAGGGAAAAATTAAGAATTATTAACTGTGTACGGCTTCGCAGTTTGTGGGGTTTCCGGTGACTAAATATAATTTCCCCTTTCTCAAGGCGCCGCAGCGCAAAAGCCCTAATCCCCAATTACCTAGATTTGCGAAGCAACTTCTTCTTGACCATCAGCAGTTTGGGCGGTTTGTACCCCCTTCCATCCTTCGTTTTGTTACTGCCGTCAAATCCGTGCACAAAACACAACATTACGGAATCACTCATACACATTTAGTAAAAAACCGCAAAACTTAGAGTTCGTTAACCGCTTAAAAGAACAGGATGCCGAAAATTGGTATTAAGTACTGAAAGAGCGGAATGTTTAGGAGGGAAAAAAAGGTGCGAGGGTGCGAGTTAAATGAAAGGTGGCGGGTTTTTGTTATCCCATCGCCGTTTTCGGTGGTAAAATGTTCATCGTTTCCGAGTTTTCACTTATCAATTCATGTACTTGAAAGAGTTTCAGTGGACGTCGACTTCGCGATAGCGGTCGTCGGACGGCTACTGACAAGCCTGTCGTTTACTGTACGTTGAGACGTTAGCCCCCCTTACGTTTCCCCAACAACAAGTAGCAACGACTACAGCTGACTTGCACCGCCGGTTTGTTTGATATCGACCCGCACGTGCTTTACACTGGGAAAATTAAGATATTTTTTAAATTTTTTAATGGCGGTTACAGAATTTTTGCTGTAAATTTATTTTTTACTTCCCAAAAAGTACTGAAAATTGATTGACTGTTGGCATACATCGGATGCAGGATCGGATGTAGGACGATTTCTGCAATTGTGTAAAACACTGAATTTGTCACATACCTGGATTGAAAAAAAGGCTAATGACGCACAGCAAAGGAATAGCCCTAAAGCCTTATCTGCATTGACTTCTTTACTATAGGGAACCTCGTAGTATATAACGAGACACATGTCCTTTGGGCTTTGATTCAAAATGGAACATCAGTGTTATTTCAAAGGTCCATAAAGTTAGTAACGAACATTTCCAGCACCGGTTACGTATAACGCTATGCTATAACCAAAGCGTGCCCCCCGTCCCCCTAAACATGATACGAAAAGAATAGAGTTTTTTTTTGCATATATTGCATTAATTTAAATTTTTTAATCGGTAAATAAAAAAGTTGTGCGTTTTTTCGTTAAGACACATATTTCCATATGGAGACAGTTTTTCACTGCCAAGGAAAATTTAATATGGGCACAAGCTATGGAAGCACCGTATGAAGTATTTTTATAACTTCTTACAAGTTTTCCATAATTAGGAAAGCGCTTCCGCATGTTTGATAAATTTTCAAAATGTAGTATGCATTTCTAACACATTTCCAAAATTTCCTACATACCTCAGACACATTTCTGAAACATTTGCCTCATATTTCCATCACTTCTGAAAACTTTTTAAAATATCATGAGAAGCAATTCCAAAATATCTTAAACTTTGCCGAAATTCTTACACATTATCGATACATTGGCAACATTTTCTACACATTTCCAAAACTTGAGGCACATTTCTCAAACATCTCCCTCACATTTACGTTCATTCTGAAATATTTTTTTTAACTTTTCCTAAATATCGTTTTAATACTACTGTTCTATACTTCTTTATACATGTTTGAAACATTTCCAAAATTATTTAAAAATTATTCATTTTAAGAAATTCTAAAAACATTTTCTAATTTTCCTACACTTTTCCAACACTTCTAAAGTATTTCTGTAACATCTATATTTAAAAAAAAATTGTACCAAAATTTCTGCAACTTCTTTAACATTTCCAATTTTACTACACATTTTCAACATGCTTTAGTAGAAATATTTTTGTACATTTCGAATCCTTTATCTAAAATTATTGAAATATGTATTTCCAATGTTTTTCAAATTAAAAAAAATGTTGAGGTGATTGTAGTTACATTAAAAAAACCATTTCTAAGATGAATAATTGTTTTTAAAATTTTCGTGTCAACAAATTCTTTTCTAGTAGTTTTCTAAGTATATGTATAACACTTTTTTACGTGTATTTTCATGTCAAGTGTTTCTTAAATTCTAAAACATTTCCAACATTTTTGCTCTTCTTTGATATAATTTCAAAATTTCCTACACATTTTCGAAATAGTTCTGAAACATTTACAACATTTGTTAAACATATAATATTATCATAATGTTTATTAACTGTATTAGCAATACACTACATAATATTCGTCAATTAAAATACACTTATGAATTAAATTCGTAGAGCGTTGGTCTTCAGGTCGGAGGTTGGGTGTTCGCACTTGGACTGAGGTGGGAATTTTTCATCTGTGGCAGAAATGGGAATTTTCCTGCGGGTTTCCTATAATTCGTAAGGTAAATACCGGAGTAGTATAGAACAACTTAAGGCCTTCTGCAGGGCACCTCTAAAAAGCATTATGCGGGCCACTATGTAATTGAGCGCAAGCCTGTTGAGGGCCCAGAAGAAGAAGGACAATAAATAAAATCTAGAAACTGCCGATTATCGGTGAAAAAATACAAGGAATATCGATTTTTCAATTTAATATTAATTATACACGGTTGATCATCATTAATTGAACTAAATCATGAAGGAATTGACATATTAGTACTTTTTATATACCTAGTTGAGGTGTCTGAGGTAGGGCATTATTTCATACCACGACTGTACTTACAAAGGCACTATATACCGTAGATTTTGAAAGTATACCAGGCGACCTTTAAATGTTTAAGTGTAAATAGCTCCCTCCCCATTAATCATCTACCAAGAAAGTAAACATCTATAAATATAGCATGGACTACACCCCCATAACCCAACGATTTACTATTATCTATTTCGGTTTAAAAAATGCGCTTTATCTGCACAAGAGTTGTGCACAATTTGTACTTGTTTCTAAACGCGCATTCTGAATTCATCGCAATTAAGTTTTGTACGTCATCGTTTTTGACATATGTCAATTTTTCTTTAAAAATTTGGTTCATTCAAGATAAATCAATGTTTCTTTTAATAATTAAGAGTCTACGGAATTTTTTGAGTGACCGCCGCCGATAGGTTTGAAAAAGTGTCCAGGGCGGATGCGATTTTTCGAAGTTCGCAAAGTTAGCAAAAAATATCAAATACTTTAGTTTATTAAATTTCTACTATTTCTGATGCCAGAAATGAATGTAGATTTAAATCTAAGGGCCACTTTTTTTAACATTCTGTATGCCTATCACGTAGTTTTTGTTATTGGCATAAATAGGAGACATGTAAAAAAACAACACAATGTGGATAATTATCCATAGTGAAAATTGTACGACTCAAAAAAAAGGCAGTGTATAACCTTCCTTTTTTACCAAAAATCGACTACACCAAAATTTCTCGGGAAAACACTTTTTCTTATTAATTTTGGTGCGTGGAATCCAAAACAATTCGTACTTTTTCGATCAGACTTCTCAATCAAAAGTTATAGACTAGAAACCAATTTCGAAAGAAAATTCAAAGGGCTGTAACTTCTGAACTAGTAGCCCAATCTTCGAACTGTTTGAAATTATGGATTCTACAGGGCGCATTCTATAAGAAAATTTTTTTCCGGGTCGATCTGAGACAATTTTTTTTTTCGGGACTCAAAAAAAGGCAGTGTATAACCTTCCTTTTTTTACCAAAAATCGTCTACACCAAAATTTCTCGGGAAAACACTTTTTCTTATTAATTTTGTGGCGTAGAATCCAAAACAATTCGTACTTTTTCGATTAGACTTCTCAATCAAAAGTTATAGACTAGAAACCAATTTCGAAAAAAAATTCAAAAAGGGCTGTAACTTTTGAACTAGTAGCCCAATCTTGGAACTGTTTGAAATTATGGATTCTACAGGCCACATTCTATAAGAAAATTTTTTTTCCCGGTCGATCTGAGACAATTTTTTTTTCGGGCCTCAAAAAAAGGCAGTGTATAACCTTCCTTTTTTACCAAAAATCGACTACACCAAAATTTCTCGGGAAAACACTTTTTCTTATTAATTTTGGGGCGTAGAATCCAAAACAATTCGTACTTTTTCGATTAGACTTCTCAATCAAAAGTTATAGACACTAGAAACCAATTTCGAAAGAAAATTCAAAGGGCTGTAACTTGTGAACTAGTAGCCCAATCTTCGAACTGTTTGAAATTATTTAAAATAATATTGATGCGAAGGACATTCGAAACTATTGCTTTCAAAACCTAGTACACCTAATCTTTGAATATTATATTCAAAGACGTAATGAAATATAAGAATTGACAAAAAGTGTTTTTTTTTAATTTTTTTTTCTTTTTAGTATTTAGTCTCTAAAATGGCAAAAAGAATTTGATATCAAAAATAGATTTATATTTCTCGTTCCTGGCCGTAGACGCAGAGGGGCGAATCTGCGGGTGTTTCTCAGCTATAAGTACTATTTTTTAGTTGTGGGGGCTAACTTAATGGAGCTCTTTAGACATCGCAATAAGTGGGGTCCTTTTGATTATTTGACCTGATATTGAACTGACCAGTTGAACTTCGGATTAATTACGCAACTCCTAATTGTGTTAAATTTTCTATATTGTGACTAGGTCTCAAAGTGAAAATACATGTTCCGTTTTTTTTCGTGACATCTACGAGTATTCAATAAAGGCCTATGAATTATGAATAATGTAAATTCGAAAGAGTATCGGTCCGAGAACAGACCCTTGCGGTGCACCCGTATCAATTCGTCGATTATCAAATTCTTTTTATTGAAATAGACATACTATCACACTTCGGGGCCCAGATTGCAGATATGATTTTAATAATGCGATGTTTTTTCCGCTAAATTTGCCTTCAAACTTAAACTAACTTGGTAACTATATAAGTGAGTAGGTACAAGGTCGGTTAAGTTAGAGAACTATGTTTTTTAAGGTTATCACATTTTTCTAAAAGCCTGAATGGAATTTTTGTCTTAAAAATTCAATGTGCAAAGCTGAAAATTATACAATTACGAAACTACTTGACAGCGAAGTTAGAAATAGTGCCGATTTAAGTTTAAAGGCCCTGTATAGCCGGTTTATTTACAAATGTCGTGATTAACACAATCAAATGCCAAATTAATGTATACATTTCAATATAACTACACGCTTCGGACATGACGGATACCGATATAAATGCAAATTTAATCCAATATACAAAATGAATGATCCGAAACAATCAATAGCATGCGCCCACACTAGTTATTCTGTGAAAAGTGGAAAACAATTTTCCTATAAAATGCACGTCTTAAGAAAGAAATGATGACTTTTTTATTTGCCGATCGATATGGATATGAATGCAAATTTAATCTAGTATAGCATAGGAAATGGGTTATCGGAAATTTCAATGTCCACGCTAGTTTTTCTGTGGCAAATGAATAACTGTTTCGCTATGGAAATGCGCGTGTTAAGAATGTAATTCATAACTTTTTTATTTACCGATAGATGACGATGCTAAAATTGGCTATCCGAAGCGGTGTCTCAATAGCTATAGTGTTCACGCGTGTTTTTCCGTGGCAAGTGGAAAACCGTTT